GTAGATAAGCACTCTTGTCACAGGCATTGATATTTTTAAAAAATTTACTTTAGAAAAATGTAGGATATATATTTCTTTATATCATGTATAAGATATTCAGCAACAGTATAGCTATAAATATCCATATTTTATAAACCTATTATGGGCTTCCATTTATTACATCTAGATTTACTTATGCTTAATATTTAAGTTTTAGATTGGCAAAGTGTTTAGAATATCAATTACAGGAACTTATATGATAATACCCTTGTCAATTTAAGTCTGATTTTAATGCTCTGCTGTTATATAGATAAAACTTGATCAACTCCATCAAATAACAATGACTATAATCTGGTTTCTCTGCAGTCACATAGGTGACCTATGCTGATATTTGATTAACCATTTACTAAATCTGGCTTAATATTTAATAAATTTGTTAAATAAAATATGGTGTTTATAATTTAAATGTTTGTCTTTGCTTTGAGATCCTTGAACAGATGGACAAGTTACTCCTATCATATATCACTTCTAGAAATTTTATTTTAGGAGAAATCAGTACTAACAAATTAAACTGGACTTTTAGTCAGTGTCCATTTCTTAGAACATATACGTAAAATGTAAATTTAAACACTAATTTTTTGCAGTGTAAAAGATCTCTCCATAGCACAAAAACATAAATATCCCTAATCATCTTTCAGAAGAAGGACTTGGTCAGCAATGTGCCCTCTAATCTTTTCCATCCACATGCAGAATAAATTTTGTTATGTGCACCGAGACATTTCCAAACATTCATCACTAGTAAAAACAAAAAACATAGCTTGGGTGCTCTGCTAATCAGCTAGGTGGCATTTGAATATCTCCTGAGCAACTGCACAAATGTCCATCTTACAGGGCACACTATTTTTTTCAGAAGAATGACAAAAATATTACTTCCTCCTGAACCTAAATATCTGTCACAACTGTTTCTCCGTATCTTTCAGCTACAATGGATTATAAAATGGACATCAGTTCTTAGTGCATTTCTAAGAGAAGCAATGACAACTGCCATGAGAATCAATGGGAGAGAGTCTGGGATTTTTTTCTAGACAAGTGTTAGAAATATCAATTTTGCCCTATTCCACTCATCTCATTAATCTAGCTGAGAATTTCCTATT